TCAAAGACAGCCATGGACATGGGTCCACTTTAATTTCAAAAGTTACAATTTCCACAATGTACAAAGAACTCACAAATTAATAAATAAAAATTTCACGAGAATGAGACTACAATCTTCACAAATCAATTCTCGAGGGGAGGCTGGAACGCGACTCATAGAACCTGCTGAGGCTCGGTGTTGTGTGCTCTGGTGTCAAGTTACACCATCTGGCTGCATAGGGTGTTATTGCAGCGACCTTTCACAGATGTCACCCGGATGGACCAACTGCGTGAGACAAGTATAATCCTAGGCTAAACCAGCTGATTTAATCAACTATGATGATCTGATGTAGAGCAACACTCCGACAACCTGGTCGTACTATCAACAACTACTCTAGCTGTAATAGCACCTCTGTGTATTACGCAGTTGGTACATCGCATGCTATCTGGCTGTGTGACCTTGCGCGGGGATCAAACATCCTCCCGCCAACCTATTTTTTTCGCACAGATCCACAACCAGAGAACAACAGTTGACGCCAAAAGGTGGAAGTTGCTTTCACTCGACTGCAAGCCTCTTCCCACAGATGGTGCCTCAAGTATCTTCCTGCAGCTGGTATCCTGCCGTGACCGCCCCAATGAGGTCGGGAGCTGGTCCAACTTCCCCTCACTTTCTATTATTTACACCAGCTGTGGCTGTGCGGCACAAAGGTCACGGAGTGCAGTAAGTACTCCAATTAAATAGCAATTGGAGTTTCTAATTTAAATTCTTCATCTCCATGCGACTTCTGTTCAAGCAAAGACTTACATCCTTAACCAGTGTGCAGAACAGCCACTCACCTACATATTAAGATGATTTTAGTGTCTAGCTAAGCATAATATTATTAAATTGTTGCGACTTCAGAGAAGCCACTGTGACTCAGAAGGAGACAGTTTTAACACTTTATTTTTGTCAAAGGCAAGGTGAAGACTAACCCTTTCAAGCTGAACACAAACTCTGCTCAAATTTGGTTGACAAAGTTTAATCTCTGTTTTTTTGTTTTTTGTTTTTTGTTGACAGCGTTAGTTGATACATGCATACTGTTAGCAGCGATGCATTTTGAATTTGACTGAAAATTTTGACAGCATCTCCACCAATATGGCGTCGACACCGTTTGTGTTTGGAATGTTCAGATAGCGTCCATTAAGACAATCAAAATTTTCTTCCTTATTCTTGTATTACATTCTTTCTCCTTAAAGTACTATATATAGCAAGTTCTTCACTTTACTTACAAAGTCTCGTTATTACACTATGTTCAAATTATAATTGTGATTTAACCTAATTTCAAGAAATTGTTTACTTTTATTCCTCAGAAAATAAAGAAAAATAAAAAAGAGAAGAAAATAAAATCCAAAAGCAAATATTTTCGTAGTGTACATATTACTCATTATTTTTTTTAGCAAAACATACAAATCACAACATGTCATCACTTTTTTTGATAAACAGAAAAAAGGCCAAAGAATTCCTCATCATTATCATTACTCGTTATTATGCTATTGGGTAAATTTCATTCAAGACCAATCATCTGTTTACATCGAGCGGGGGAGTGATGACATAACACACCACCAAGAAATAGAAACCAGCAAAGGCGGAAAAAGACTCGCAAGGAATTAAAAGATCGGTTTTTCCATACACACCAGGAGAAGGCGAGGCTGTGTACGTATGCTACATGGGTAAGAATCAATGACAGTTGTTATTTCTATGCTGACTTTTACATTATCCTGTCACAGCTGTAATGTACTGAGGTCTACACACGTCTCGTTTACTATATTTTAGCTAAGTGTTCGAGGGAGGTTAATGGTGAGCCTCCGCGCAAGGGATCCAGATGACCTGAGTTGTAGCTACGGACGTGCTCGGTGTAGAAGCCACGTTGTATTCCTGCACGAAAGGCATGGGGAAGGTTGTCTCTCTTTTTTGAGACAGGCATTGCGGTAAAGGTGGAAATGCCTACTATCTCCTCCTGCAGCTTGGTGATCACGTGACCTCCTTCTTACAGGGGGTTTCGAGGTCATAAGCTGAAGGTTTTGTGGCGCATTGACCCCACTGTCAGCTGTTATTGTTGCCTCCGCTAGAACATCACGGGCCGACGCATGCCTTTGTTAATGTTGGAAGAATTCTTTCGCCAATGTAACCCGATTGAGATGAGTTATCTAACCATATATATATATATGTATATACTTACAGTAAGTGAGTGACTTCATCGATATTGGGAGGATAGCTTTTACTTTCCATATAAAAGAGTGTTCGGAGGGGGGTGGGGGTGTATTCTCTGTCCATATATACAAGGATAACTTTCGTATCCCGTCTGATAATCCTGCACTCTGACACATGCCCTGTCGCATCGACGTCTGAACCAGGCCGTGACCTGCAGTGTCTCTCGTCTGGGCCGTCAAATGCCAACATCACTGCATAATGACATCATGACAACGACAGCGGCGTGCCAGCTGTTCGAAATCCGACGTCTGTCATTTTTAATCCTTAGGAT